AATATAATTTTTAAATTAAAGAAATTAATATATATTGTTACGCTTACTATACATAATAATTCGTATATAGTGTGAAACATTTGTACTTTTCGAATATAGTATAATTAAATTTAAATTATGTGAGGATTGACTCTGAATTATATGTACCACACTATCTATTGAAAAAACTTAGTGATATAATTAAATCAGATAATTAGATTATCTAATAAAAAGAACATAAGAATATCTATTAATAATTATTAAATAGTATTAAGACTGTTAGACCTTATAGTGAATTTGATTATAACTGTTTCAACGATTTTTTTTAAATGATTTTTTTTATTCTCTAAGCTTAAATTTTATATATAAAACTGGTTATATGAGTGTAGAAAGTATATACTAAATGAGATAGTCTCAACCTGGAGAACCTTGCAATATAAATAAAAATGTTTCTTTTTTCAATTTTGAAAACCCGATGGTTATGTAATGTCCATTGGTTTATGTTGTTCTGTCACTTGACAGCATTAAATGAAAGTAGTTGTTTGATGATGTTGGCCGGTGGTCTTCATTTATCTAACTGCTCTAAACCCTTTATAAAGTCTCCATATATACACTACCAATATTATCGTTCATTCAACATTTTCATTGCTTACATTGTTCCTCCTATTTCATCAACTCCCTCTCCATGGCTTCACTTTCCAAAAGGTAAATTTCTCATATTAAACCCTTCTTTCTTTATTATTTTCAGAAACTATTTTCCCATCTTTAAAAAACTTCCCTATCTTCAACTCATCTTAATTCTTTATTCTTTTTATATTATTCTTCTTAAAAGGTTACTTTCAAGAATACATAAAGAAAATATTTGAGTTTTTCTTAACATGCCATATAGGAAAACATCCATCCAAGTTATACATCATAATTGATTTTCATCGAAAAATTGGACCAAGTTATATATAAATATATAAAAGAAATCTCTACTAAAAGCAAATTTTTACAAAAATTGGCTACCCCCAAAAAGGAGTAATTTGTTGATTGATAGTGGAGACTCACGTCAACTCATGCAATAACCTCCACAAAAATGGTTTTGAAAAGAAAATAGCCAAGAGATCTAATATAAGTTCTGTGTTCTCCTAATAATGACAATCTGGAACCTTGTAGGCTTGAAGGAAAAGTGGCGATAATCACCGGAGGAGCTAGCGGCATCGGAGCCGCCACCGCCAAACTATTCCTCCAACACGGTGCCAAAGTGATCATTGCAGACGTGCAAGATGCTTTAGGCCACTCCCTCTGCAAAACCTTCACCACGAACAGTCCCATTCACTACCTTCACTGCGACGTAACAAGCGACTCGGACGTCAAAAACGTGGTGGAAGTCGCCATAACCAAATACGGAAAACTCGACATAATGTTCAATAATGCCGGCATCTCGGGAGACTCGAACAGATCCGTAGTAGAATCCGATGAGGAAGATTTCAAAAGAGTTCTCGAGGTTAATGTGTACGGAGCTTTCTTGGGCTCCAAGCATGCGGCGAGGTTCATGGTTCCAGCGAAGAGAGGGGTGATTCTCTTCACTTCGAGCATTGCTTCGCTTCTGGGTGGCGAAACGTCGCATGCTTACGCCGTTTCAAAGCACGCAGTGGTGGGACTGATGAAGAACCTGTGCGTTGAACTGGGGCAGCATGGGATCAGAGTGAACTGCGTTTGTCCAGGTGGCATTCCCACTCCGATGCTGAACAAGGCGTTGAAGATGAACAAGAAGGAGACGCAGGAATTGCTGTGCAAGGTTGCAGTGTTGAAAGGGACGGTTCTTGAAGCTGAAGACATAGCAAAAGCTGCGTTATATTTGTGCAGCGACGAGGCGAAGTTCGTGAGTGGAGTTAACCTTGTTCTGGACGGTGGTTATAGCACCACCAACATGTCATTCAATTCAGTGCTGAATGGTCTCATGGATAACTACACCAACAACATCAACAGCAACAACCATGCTTAATCATGGCTACCAATATCCCTTTCTGCGCATTTCCTGCTTCTACTGATATATGCTGAAATAATTAAGCTATAGTTTATCTATTTTCTCACTGCTTTCTGGTTTTTCTACTACATCGTGAGGATGGAAAACTCAACACTGTTTCCTCTCTAATGCAACAATGTACCACTGGCTAACTAGGCCTTTCCTTAAATGAAAATGTGTGTCGTGCTGTTGGCTGTAAAGCTACATTTTTTATTTTTTTAATGTGTTGATGAATATATATATATATTATATAGGGAGAGAGAGAGGAGGAGAACGATGTTATTTTACGTTACCTTCTTTTTTATTTCGTATTAATAAGAAATAAATTATGAATGAAAAGGTTACCAATTTTAATAATAATTGCTGTATATATGTTAACAGTGATATTACTCTGTACACTGTAATAACATTTATTACAAGATAATATATATGTACGTAAATGTGTAATATTTATATTGAGTTTAATTTTTGTTAAGGAAAAGTTATACTAATTAATACTAATAGAATGAACTCAAAAACTAACCATTAGCTTGTAACAGTTTTCTTGAATGACACCAACCACACTGTATTTAGTGTTTTGATTTTTGAACAAGCCACGGTATATTTTAATGGAAAGTTGAAACTGATTCTTATGATACTGAGGTTCGTTTAGATAATTAAATATTAAAATATTCATTTGCTTTATTTTATACACGTAGCAACAATATTTGTAGTTCTTTTCATATTATCCACTATAAATCTAGATTAATATGATCTTGCTTCATTCAAAATTTTAAATATGATTTTAACATTTCAATAGCAGGAAAAAAATGTCTTTACTTCTCTAACAATTTTTCCTTGATATTGAAAATATAAGAGGATCAAATTGATGCTGATGTATAATATTATAAAAGAGCTATGTATTATAATTGATTCTGGATTTCATTAATTATATGCACAATTATTAAATCTTTATCTGTATATGGTCAATGGTCACGCACATTCATATATATATATAATATTTATTTAACCAAACCAGCACATGGAGAGAGATCAATCAATTATTTGATGATGGAACTATTAAGGACTGACCATTCAGATAAGATAAAGATCTTTCAAATTTATTTTATTTTTAAAGCACATAATATTATATTTATTTTAATTAAAATTACAACATTCTTAGTTAAACTAAGTTGGTGATCAATAATATAATAAATATGTTATGGTTTAATGTTTCGGTAGGTCCTTTTTTTGGTCGAGAATCTCAAATAGGTCCCTTACTTATTCGGTGTCTCAATTGAGTCCTTATTTTTGAAAAATTGAAACAAATAGAGGTTTGCCGTCAAATTGAACAAACACCGTTAGACTGATGTATATGTGGCATGCTGACGATAGTGTTTTAAATGATGTGGCAAGGGTTAAGTTACTCTAACATGGATATTTGTTTTTTTAAAATTAAAGAAATTGAGAGAAGTTAATTAAAATGAATTGTTTATGAAAATTAGGGATTAGAGAAATTCTGAGTGCTTCCTCAAATTAGGGTTCCTTTGGAATCTGAGTTCGTCTATATACCTCTCTCCCCATGAGTCAATTAGTACCATCGTTGCGCCTCCGCTCCAGCAATCCTCCCTTCCTCCGCCGCCTACTCCCCCACCGTTCCCTTCGACGACTATTGAATCAGAAGCGCTACTGCCAAACTATCAATGGTGTCAGCATTCCAAGAGTTGCATTATTCAACCGTTCGCCCTCAGAGAAGATATCGGAGATTCGCTTGTCAGCGACAGAAGACTGACGGATCTCTTCCTCATCTTCCATATCCTTCATTTTTATTTTCGTTTCTTTAAAAGAAATTTGGGTGAAATTGGGTTTGGAACCTTTTGGAGGTTTCGTTGACGAAAGGGAGTGAGTTGACGGTGACGGTCGAGATGTGCTTGAAGAAACTTTCAACAAATGGCTTCCCTTATATGTTCCCTTTACTAGCCGAAGGCTCATCCAGAAACTCTGCAAATTATCCAATGCACAATTGTAAAGGAGCTTTCTATTAATGAAACAACTTTGACTTACAAACTAAATTTTCATATTTGGGTGTTGATTCTCTTGAAACTGTGAGGCCTCAAATTCTTCCTTCCTTCCATGTTTGTGAATTTCTTTCTTATTTCCATTTACAGATTGCTCTTTCTGATTGCTCTTTTCCTGTTTTTCAATTGCTCTTTTTGATTGGGGTAGGTTAGTTTGTTTCTGTCTAAAGATTATCAATTGGTGCAAAAATAAGGATGATAGAAGAAGGGATGATGGTTACGATGAACATATGATGGAGCATATAAGGATGATGAGGATATGATGGAGCAGATAAGGATTCTGGGATGGAATTGGTAAGATGATGATGCGTAAAAAGGATCCTAATTCTTTTTAATTTTTTAATTTTAAAATAACTCAAATCCAAATCATTTAACCATGTCATTTAAAAATAAAATCCAACGTGTCACGTCAAATATTCAGTAACTGTCGTTCGGTCCAATTTAACGGTAAGAGTCTAATTGATGCAATTTTCACAAAATAAGGACTCAATTGAGACGCCGAAAAAGAAGGAGACCTATTTGAAATTTTTGACAAAAATAAAGACTTACAAAGACATTAAACCAATATGTTCTCGTAGGAAATATAAATGTCACAAAAGATATAAAGTTGCTACATACATTTTTTGTACTACATACATTTTTTAAACAAATATTCTTCTTAATTATGTTTAACTTTGAATTTTCAGATATTATTGTTTTTAATGAGATTTTAATTGAAAATAAAAATTACGGATACCTTTTAGTTGGAAAATAAAAATTAAACAATTTCTTAATCTCTCAAAAGAAAAAAAAAGTTGTTAAAAATATATTTTTCTATCTCAATACACAAGATCTAATGGTGTCACGTCATATACGTAAGAGATAGTAAATAGAGAGTTTAAAACCAAACTTTTACATGTTATAAATAGTAACTAAGTTAAGCTATACATATATATATATATATATATATTATAGCAATAAATTTTATTAATCTTCCCATTTTGTAGATTTTATTTTTGTTATGATTATAGAACTTTTATAAAAATTTGGAAAGATTAGTTGAAGAAATTATAAAAGGACATAATATTACTCCAACAAATATTTTAATGAATTACTCAAACTCAATTCTCCAAATTAAATGTCGCTAACAGATTTATGGATTCAAGTGACATTATTGCATCACACAGTTAGCTAAATGGGCATGTTTCATTATCTTTTTCTTTATATTAATAAATGAAGGTTAAATGAAGAATAAAGATATTTGAACAATTGTAAACTGTATATTTTCAAAATTCTTTAAGAAAATAATAAAAGCTACATTTATTAGTTTTACATCATTTATTAATTGTATTCCGACCTTATCTACTTCAGCCAACAGTGACCAGTTAACAATGACCTTATACATATAATTATTATATATTATACTATTTAGATCATAAACACTATATAACTTTACCTCCTTTTAAGAAAAAAAACTATACTATTCTTATTATTACCATTGTTTTGCTATTATAAATAGTAATATATATCAACTATTACAAATTTTCCTATAAGTTGTTTTTACTGTTTTAGTTTTTTGAAAGCAGTATACCCATTTAAAGTTACAAAGAGTAAGTTTTTCATTTTTATTTATTGATTTAAAGCTAAAGCAAGCATAGAAATCATTGTCTTTATATATATCTAATTTTTATTATGATATCCTACTTTATTAAGTTTAATCAATTATATATTCATTTAAATAAAAATATGTATTATTATTCTATATATTGATGTCTAGTATAAGATTTTAAATGAATGTATAATACGATGATAATTTTGAAATTTAAAATGTTAACATTTTAAAATATAATAAAAAAATGAATTGTTTAAAACAAATCCAAAATTCCATTATATGTTGACATAAATTATAAGTAGACATGTAAATCTTTTAGGATAGAAGCAAAGCACAATAGGTTCCAAAATAATCTTCCTAAAATGGATTTTCCGTTTCAAATTGCATAGCCCTGTCTTAAATCTGTAAAACAAATTCATCATGCGATTGGTCATTTTAATTTTTTAGAGTAAAGACGTTTTAATTCGTCTACTTATTAACTTCATCTTTCATTTTCTTATATACATTCGTTTTCTTTTATTTTTTCTATTCTCTTAAACGAATAAAATTCACAAAACTAAAAGAAAAAGTAGTAAATATTGACTGGGCATATTTCTATATTTATATTTAGAAAAAATAAATTACACTGCATAAAAAAAATACTTTTATCAATTATAGAGCTACATGAATAAAAATTTTATTGATTTTTACTGTAATTTGCCTAGAAATTATATTAATAACGTTTTCTAATTGATTGAAATAGGGGTTTGTTTGCTCCCTCCACCCCCACACATCTCTTCCTCCACCTCCCCTTTACTATTTTGCCCTTCCTCCACCTTTCCTTTACTTATTTTGCCCCTCAGTAAATTTTATTTTAAAATTGTTGTTTTTTAAATTTTATTCATTTATAACATATTTCACTGATAACCTACGTAGTTTCTTGTATGAGTAAAATATTTTTCTACAAAGCTTGGTGATCGTGAAAAGAATTATCAAACAATCTTCTTCTTGTTCTCGGTGCAGTACTGGTGCAGTGCGTTTATGGTGTAGTGTCCTTGTCGTGGTTCCTCTCCAGGTACTGTAGTCATAATCCTTCCAATAATCCTAAACCCTAAATCCTTTCCCATACTTCCATAATCCTTTTAATATCCAAGCCTATAATCTTGCATGAGCCGCAAACGTAGTAAAATAAAAACGAAACGTAAAAGGAACACTACCTATGGACGGATGACATCCTTCAAACGGATATCAACATCCGTTTAAGGCAAAACGGATGTCACAATCCGTTTAAGGCAAAACGGATGTCGACATCCGTTTTGCCTTCAACGGATGTTGACATCCGTTGAAGGATGTCATCCGTCCAGAGGCAGTGTTCCTTTTACGTTTCGTTTTTATTGTATATTGTTATTTTTTACAGTAATTATATTAAATTTATAATTT